GCCTCTTCCAGCAACCTCCCCAAGCCCGTATGCCGAGGCTCTGCCTGCCATCCCACAGACAACAACTTGGCCATGAGGTCCACAGCGCACTGGCACACCCTCCTGCTTCCAACCCTGAGCTGCAGCAGGCTTCTGAGGGCAAGGACAGTTCCCACTTGGGCCACACTTACAGGCACAAGAACTCTCAGGCCACAGGGAAGCAGACACTAGAAATCTCAAAAACTGCAATTTTCTCATCTAAAATCTCACTTTCCCCCAGAAGAAGAAACCAAATACAATCTGCCACCCGACACGTAGCAATAAGGCCAAGCTAATGGCATCAAGTCTATAGAAACTAGAACTACTAGGCCTCCTACAGCCACAAGGTACTATGCCTTTCGTGGTTATTAACAAGAAATGTGTTTTTTACCCACACTTGTGAGCACTTATAAGATGAACTTCTCAGAACATACAAAATGAATGGCACAGCCCTTGAACTGAGTGGAGAAAGAATTCCAGAGCATTCCATAAATCTGATAAAACTTAAAAATAGATCTGCAAAATTAGCAAAAACCATTAATGACGCATTCACATAAAACTAATGGAACATGCCATTCATAAAATGTAACATTCTTCACTCCTTTTTAATTTCCTGCAGTAAGGCTTTGGCACTACTACTTAAACCAACATCACCCTTTCTTTATGTACTTGTTCAAATACAAAAGTGATCCTGGTTTATGTTTCTTTCTCAACTACTCCCAAACATTTCCAATACTTTATTATTAAGTTCTACTGACATTAATTTATATCCTCCAATAAAATAAAAAGTTGGTAAAAGTCCCAAGAGTTCCAGGACATGCGATCGAACTCAAACCAGCAGAAATTAATATAAAGTCTACTCAGCCTTTTTCATTTAAATGCTAATTCATTCAGTTAACAAGCATACTGAGTATCAAATACAGCAGAAAAGATAAATTCTCAGCAATATATGTTATTCACTTGACAATCATATATGCCTCCCCTAAGATGAGGGTTGAGGGGTTCAATAAACAAAACAGTCTAGATCTTAATTAAGTTTACATTGTAAGGAGAAACACTGAAGTACAGAAACACTGCAAATTTCAGATGGCAATATGTGTTAATAAGAAAAATCTGATAGAGAATAAGTAAGCTACTTAGGAACTTCTTCAACATGAGTAGAGTTATATATATATTTTGTAAAGATAATCTCAAACTTCATTAATGAACCAGAAAATGCATGGCAGTGGCAGTAACAGGAACAAAACATGGCAGAGCCAGAGGTCCTTGGGGGCCAACAAACAAAGAGTTGGGGGAAGAAAGGAAAAAGAAAGAGCTGAAAGGGAAAAAATGAAAAAATGGATGTAATGGATATGGGCACATTCTGCCTATCACTCAGAACTTTACGTTCAAAATTAGGGAGGCATGTGTGGTTTTTCAATCCATGGTCTTAATTTATCAGGTCAAATAAAATTAGAAATCATCTAATAATGCAAAAAAAATAGGTATTTCAACACTAGAATTAGCAGGGGAAATAGCACTACTTTTCTTAAGACAGTAATAGAGGGAAGAATAAAGTTATAGATAGATCTCTCCCAAAAAGCTAATTAATTCAACAGTACAGCATCTAAACTAAAAAGAGGCAATTAGCTGGAGGTGGAGGCTGAGGCAGGATTGCCAGCTAGGCTGCATAGTGAGTTCAAGGCCAGCCTGAACTAGAGTAAGATCCTCTCAAAAAAAAAAAGCGCGTGGCTGGTGAGATGGCTCAGCGGTCTAAAGCACCTACTTAGAACAAGCTTAGCAAAGCACAGGGACCGTGGTTCAATCCCCCAGCACCACATGCCAGCCAGCCCCGCCCCCTGATGGGCTGAGCTGGCCACACACACACACACACACACGCACAAATAAATAAATAAGCGCTATGCAATTAAAAAATCAAAATCACCACTTGTGGGGCTCAATGGTAAAGTATTTGCCTAGCATTAGGTTCTGGGCTTGATGCCCAACCTTATACATAAAAACGCTGCCTATTACCCTGTGGAAAAGAATGAAAACATTTGGTATAAGACAAGCAAATGGGATAGCTCACAAAAGTTCCTGTCTACCTAATACTGCTTCCCTACAGTTTCTACCAAGTCAGCATAAGAAATCGTCAAATTGATGGCAGATGGCCTTCATCTCTGCCTATATCCTCCACCAGATCTTGTAATATCTAATGGCAGGCTGCCTGCCATTCACCAAGGCTGTCCATCTCCATGCTGAAGTACCAGAAAAGCACAGGGCCAAAAAGGCTTGGGATGTTTTAGGAACTTCGCTACCTACGGCAGAACAGGAACCAACACACAATGGAAAAGCTTTCACGCTCATGGTCACTGGAGGTCACTGGAGTTTCCCATGCCTTCTCTCTTATCCCTTCTCCTAAACCCACTACTAAGAGGACAATCCACTTAAATCTGAACTTACTGTCCTCAAAATTGAAACCTTCTTAAGTTCTGCTTGATTACTGTCACTATGTAAGAAGAAAACCAACCAGCCCAATCATGGCTTTTCTTCTCACAATAAACTTCAGATCTCCTGCCATCTGATGTAATCAATTCCTGGTTGGTTTTTTTGTTTTGTAATCCTGGGAATTGAACCCAAAGCGTTTGCCCTGAACTACATCCCAACTGTATCCTCTGTTATTATTTCTTATTCTGAGACAGGGTCTCACTAAATCACTTGTCTAGGCTGGGCTCCAACTTGTGATCTTCCTGCCTCAGCATACCAGAGCACTGGGGTTTCAGGCGAGCACCACTACCTCTAGCCAGTTTCTGTCACACACAGTGTGATGAGGATTATTCGTACCTTTCCTGGTTTACTTCCAAATTCCAATCAATGACACTGGCACTTGCCTGACCTTACAGTCCTCTCTGCAAGAAAGAAGGATGAGTTAAGAGGAAGGGAGGGGAGAGAAGGGGATGGGAGGGGATAGGAGCTTTTAGAGAAAGCTTTTATGAAGTATCTGCTTAGCACTGGCTGGTCTAGAAGGTAAGATACTACTGTCTCCATTTTCTAAGTGGGAAAAGCTTTGAAGTTTCTCAAATACACCCATTCCTTTCCAGTCTAACAGTTCAGTTTTTATCACCTCATATACATAGCACTGCCTGCTTCCTCTACTCCAAATCTATTCTGTATTGAACGCTGCCAGGACATTCACACCAAAATTCCATTTACAACGCATCAGTTGGCTGCTGAGAGCAGTAAAATGCCCTGTTATTCTCTATTTCCACTCACTGGTCTATAGTGGAATATCTGTTGTTCAAAACCTCCCATGATTCCTCACCAGCCTATATGTAAAGGAAGCAACAGATGTTAATGCAGAGATATGGAGAACATATGTGGAAAAAGACAAAGGCAAATCAAGATGGAATCTCTCTTTCCTCAAAAAACTAGGATTAGAGATCGCCTTCAACCCAGCTATCCCCCTCCTGGGTATTTTTCCAGAGGAACTGAAAACATAATACCACAGTGATACATGTGCACCCATGTTTAGAGCAACATCATTTGTCATAGCTAAATCTTGGAAACAACCCAAATGCCCATCAACTGAGGAACAGATAAGAAAAAAAGTGGTACTTTTACACAATGGAGTACTACTCAGCTATAAAAAAGTAAAGTTGAGGCTTTTATAGATAAATGGATGCAACTACAGACTATATTCATAAGTGAAGTAAATCAGACCTGCATGTGTAAACACTGCATTGTCTCGCCAGTGTAAGAATCTGAAAGAGTAAACAAAACTCTGAAAGGTACAATAGATACTGTGAAAGGGAAAGAATCTGTTCAAAGGGAGGAACAACTGGGATGAGTAAAAGAGGAAAATACACTTATGTATACATACAGGATAGCTTGGAAAACTGTACTGCCTATTTCTACTGGTCTACTGAAAGGCGAACGTAGAAACAAGCACATTGGGATTAATATGTTCCAAGTTACAGAGCTGCTAAGCGCTGAATTTGGGAAATAGTATCTGTGATAACTTATTTCACTTACTGATTTATGAACAATTTGCACATTCCTCTAGGGGTTAGACAGACAGCAGAAAACAATCCAGAACACATCCCTGCTTTCACAGAGCTTACTATCTTATTTTCTTCCCAAGCAGCTTCATTCAAAGGCACAATCCTAAATCCCTTAAATATTCCTTGAGCTTTCCATACAAAAATGTCAACTGTAGATAATAAAAATTAGTATGGAAGAATGACCGTGGGAGTCAAAGTCAAAAAAGCCAGGTTAAATGCAGTGACTCTGGGCAAATTTATGACTGTCCACTTCATATCCTTCACAGATTATTTACGACAATGTATGACGGTTGGTGCACCTAACATACTGCGCCCATCTAGCACACGCTGAATAAATGGGACGCACACACGTACGACTGTCACTGAGCACAGGGCCCTGGAGTACACACCAAGGACCGAAACGCTCCTATCTTCCACGGCTGTTCTCATTCCAGATCGCCACTGTCTCCAATTTCAGGCTCCAGACTACTCGGCTTCAGATAAACGAGGTGACAGGTCGGGAAAGCCAGCGATTCGCCTCGGGGCCCGATGCCCACCACAGCCCCCCGACGCCCTCCTCCAGAAGGCACCCCGATTTCGCTGGGAGGCAGCGCGGCCCCCCAGCAGCTCCGGGCCCCGAACCGGGGAAACGGCAGCAAGAACTGTAAGCCCGAGCGAGGCACACGAGGTCGCGCCTGCAGCTTTCCACCCCGACGAGCTCCGCGGCTTTCGGCCGCCTGCCCCCCGACGCCCCCCGACGCCCGGGACTGCAGCTGCAGCCTCCCCGCGGCCGCGGCGCGGGCTCCTCGGCCTGTGTCCCCCGCCGTCCGGGTGACCTCCGCTCCGCGCTCTTGCCGGGCTCGCCCTGGCCGCCGGGACTGCAGCAGGCCGCGCAGCCGGACCCCGGCGCCCTCCTGACTGCCCCGCTACGGGCCCGGCTTGCCAGGCACGAGAAGCCCTTACCTATCTTCACGACTGCATCTGCCAAGCACCGGTCCCACTTCCTGCCGAGGTCAGATTCCGACATGTTCCCGGCCCGCAGCTTCAGCTTTCCTCACCGCCGTGGCCCGCACTCCGACTCCCGGCAAATCTCGCGAGAGTTGGCCAAGGGCTGCAGGTCTGGAAGGCCGGCGCCGGCGCTCCAGATATCGCG